AGCAGTATTAATGATCAGACATCAGAAGATGCTTCACTAGACTATTTATAGTTCATCATATGTTTGGTAGCTACCGTTTAGCTGGACTTCTATTAAATGTAATTGTTGCTCTATTATGCGGTTTTATAAACTCAAGTAAACTAAAATATCGAAGAGTGAAATTCAAATGTTATGTGAATTGGATCAGAAAACATAAGCTTCAGCTAAGACCAGCTCTGGACTGCGGCGTTTTGTACTTCCTGTTAGTTTTACGTGCTGTATTCAGGCTTGATCATTCATATGAAGCAGAAACCTTTAATATTTAATCTCCATGATTTGGCTTTGTTGGGTAGAACTGTGCGTCCTGCTGACCTACATTTTTAAAAGTGTAGTTTTCCTCATTGCAGAAAACTTCCAGAGATCTTTAGATCTGGTCCAGTTACACGGGGGCCCTTAGAAATCCTGTCTTGGATTTGCGGTAAATTGGCTTCACCAACGAACTCCCATCAACATTAATTGGTTTGACTCCATCTGGACCGCGCTCTCCTTCCCACTGTGTGCAACTGTACCTTCACACTTCATATTTCACACTTCCTTCCTCTCCACACATTTATTTTTACCTGACACTGCAAATGGGAACGCGTTCATTTTTTTTTTTTGATGAATGCTTTCCTAAAAGGAAAGTTTTGCTCCGGGGAAGGCGGCAGCTTTTCAGTGTTTGTACCTGAACCCTCCGTTTTTTAAAATAAAAAAAAGAGATGTAGTAGCAGATTAATCCGCTTGTGTCAGAATCTGGGATAGCGGTGCACCACTTTTGGATTCAGCTCCCCTTTGATGTTTAGAAATTGGATAATGAATAGCGAAATTATCCGACGCTGCTGATTGGCAGGACAAAATAAACAGAGCGTTAGTCACCATGGCTGGAGCCAAGGTGACATGCCGTTCCCTTCTCCCTGTCTCCATTCACAAGTCTGTGACAGCGGAGACAAAAGACCAAAAGGCCTTTAGGCAGTCAGACATGGCTCCCAAATTGGAGCTAATTGCTTTTTAGCCGCGATGCTTTTGGGAAAATCAGAATTTGGCCTGTTTAGAGGCATCTCGACAGGAGGGGGGAATTGTGCACTAAATGAATAGCAGCGTGTAGCAGTTTGTCTACCAAACAGGTTTCATAACAGAGCAGCTCTGTGGAAGGTTCTCCATGACAGATCAATGTGTGGAGCTCCCACTGTAAGCTGAAGGCCTGTGAGACAGCGGCTCAGGTGATTCTCTCACCCTGCCGCTGATTGATCCGTCCAGAACTGTACCGCTGCCAGTTGTGTGAGGAACATCAACACGGCGAGCTGAAGGATGAAACAAACCGGAATCACTGTGGTTTGATGGCTGAAATGGCCAAAGTGTTGCACCAAAGAGTGAGAAAGATGAACTCAAATACAGTCGCTTTGAAATCCAATATTGCTCCTCTTTTGAACAAACTAATGAGGGTTTCACGTGTTTTCAGCTCAACATGCTGTAAAACTTTTAGTTAACAGGATGTTTGAGCTGCTGCTGTCCCGACCCTTTCAGGAAGAAGACTTTCTATTGCTTCTAACTTTGCCTCTGACGGATTATTGTACATGGAAGTATTGCTGGATTCACAGCACAGCCATTGTTTTAACTCGTGTTTGAGTTTGTCAGATGATGCTACAGTTAGAAAATCAGTCATCAGGAGGAGACTGCTGGTTGATATGTCGTCGTCATGATCTGCATTTCAGTCGCTATTTCATACTTGTTTGTTTTCTGAAAACAGACACGGTACAATATGTAAACGAGAGCAGAAATATTGAGCTGTAAAAAAAACCGGATATAAACGCAAATCCACACAATCCTTTTGCATCTCTGAATGTCAGCGTTACAGTTTCCACAGAGCTCTGACCTGTAAGCACATCATCAAAGCTGATGGTAGCCACATTAGCTGCACAACACGCTAACACGAAGGAGTTTGCTGCAGTGACATTGCCAAAAAAAAGTAAGTTATCCACTGAGTCTTTAGTCCAGGGGTGTCCAATCCTGGTCCTCGAGCTTGATGCTGAGCTGATCATTTGAATCAGGCGTGTTGGAAGAAGGAAACATCTAAAACATGCAGGACTGTGGCCCTCGAGGACCAGGATTGGACACCCCTGCTTTAGTCCGTCAGATGCTGGGAGTGCATGAAGACTCTTGTGTTCACTCTTTGGGCCAACAGCAGGACACTTGGTGTGTTTCCCTTGTGGCTCAGACATTTTAGAAAGTAAATAAACCTGATGGAGTGGATACTTGGAAGCAGTGAGGTGTCATTGTTTGTCTGAAATTGGTGTTTTAACAACAACCCAAGCTGATGCATGTAGAGAAGACAGTGACGTGATGGGATTAAGCCAAGACGTTCCTGTTCTTCACCATCTTCATGAAGCTCTCCTCACTCCGGTGCTCGTGTCAGAGCGTGGGGTTATAACTGGATTACACCAAATAACAGCCCGTGTCTTTCCGTCCTCCCTGCAGCCTCGGAGCCCAACCTGAAGCTGCGCTCGCGGCTGAAGCAGAAGGTGAGCGAGCGTCGGAGCAGCCCGCTGCTGCGCCGCCGGGACAGTCCCATCACCACCGCCAAGAAACGCTCGCTCGACATGGCAGGTAGGAGACGGCTTAAGTCTGTCTGAGAACTCCTATTCTAGCCTGCTGCTCTTGCCTTGTGAGTATTTGATTTTTGTGTGTGTGTGTTCCAGACTCTGCATGTAGCAGCGCCCCCGGCTCTGGCCCAAGCTCCCCGAATAACAGCTCCAACAACATCCCCAATGAGAACGGCATCACTGTGTCAGTCTCCAACAACTCGGAGGTAACGCAGCAGGCGACAGCCTCATCAGCGGAGATGTGAATTTGCAGATTTATTTTGCAGAAGTCTTGCTCTTGTACAGACGCTATCCTTTAAACGCCGTAGCCTGAATGATGTAGCTTCAGATGATGGGTCTGCAGAGGAGGAGACGGGCCGAGGAGCTGGCAAGATGCTATTTGCGGCAACCATTAAGGGCACTCAGGCGGTGTGGAGGAGGCTTGTGGCTGTGACAATTTTATATCACCAGTAGGGTGTAAATGGAGCTCTGCCTCCCATGTCCGGACATCTCCTACTGTACTGCTCCCCCCCGTCCCTCCTCTCGCGCTGGAGGTTTTTTTCATGACACAAACACAGATAAATCATTTAAATGTGTTTTCCAGGCGTCTCTGGCCCAGAGGCTGTGCAGCGGTGCTGAGCGGGGCTCCGTTAACCAGCTGTCCCTCTACACTTCGCCATCCTTACCCAACATCACCCTGGGGCTGCCCGCCACTGCCACGGCCACTGCTGCTTC